GTCCCTCCCTCCCTCCGTCCCTCCCTCCCTCCCTCCGTCCCTCCCAGTGCCGGGGGTGCCGGTGCTGTTCCACTGGCACCAGTTCCCGGGGCTGCAGAGCAGCACTGGGAGCGCTGCCCACCCGGCAGGAGCCTGGCTTTTCCCACCCTGTCCCAGCTGGAGCTTGCCGTGCCCGTGTCCCTGTGTCCCTGCTGTCCTTGTCCCCCTGGCTGTCCCCCATCCCCACGGTGCCCCCCTGTCCCCGCTCTGCCCACGTCCCCCCTCGCTCGGGATCCATCAGCCAGGTGTAATCCCACCTTCTCTGTGGGACAGGACAGTCACACTCCTGCTACATGGCTACATTTAAAGCATTTTCAGAGGTTACCTACAGGCAGGGAAAACATGCTGTTCCCACTGGGGATCCCAACCACACCGGTTGCTTTAGTCCTCCTTAAGGCACAGCTGGGATTTTGTATCTGGGAGCAACTGAAATGATGCTGCTCTAGGAGTGATATTTTAATTCTCTCTTAAAAGAGGCCTTTAAAAGAAGGCTCAAAGCTCTGCCTGGAGTGAATTCACAGTGGCCATATCAACCTTAGTGCTCCATGCAGCCTGTGGGGTGAGAGCTTGTCCACGATCACTGGTGAATCCTATAAAATCCCTATAAAAGAGAATAAACCTGCAGCCTGTGCCTGCAGGGGGACAACTTTCCAATTGCCAAAACATGACTTCCTCTTTGTGCTGTTTTCAGTGAAAGCAGAGCAGCGTGCTTGGGGCAGCACCTGCAGCGGGCAGGGGCACAGGGACAAGGCACAGCAAAGCAAGGCAGGACAAGGATAACCACAGAGTATTTAGACAAAATGCAGAAAAAAGGCAGGCAGATGGCATGAATATTAGTGCATGAAAATGACTAGCACTCTGAGAATTTCCCAGTGTACTTCTGACTGGTTTGGGCTTGCTTTTATAATTAATTTATGGAAAGCACTTAAATTGGGAATAAACACAATCTCACAAATCCCTCCTAATCTCTGCCTGTATTTTTGAAATGATACCCTGAAGGTATAGTTCCTCAGAATGATTAAACTCCTTTTCTTTTAAGAATTAAAAGGAACCTTTTCCATGTGGTCATGTGCTGTGTGAGCAGCCAGGCCCGCACTCTGACCTGCTCTAGATGCAATATACTGTTGGAAGTGCCTGGGTCGGGCATTTCCCCACTGGACTGATGGATGCCAAACCTGCCAATATTTTCATTTTGGATTCATGTATTTTAATGCAAAATATGACCTGGTGTGTTGTCAGCCTACGACTCAGAAGCACTCAGCTATTAGCATAAATTTAGAAAGCTCCTCGAAAATGAAATGTATTTAATTAAGTGGCTGCTTTTCCCTGTTGGTGGAAGCCGAGCTCCCTCCGTGGGTGGGATGTGCAGCAGGTGCTCGGGGCGGCGCAGCACAAGGGGGATTTGGGTCTCTGGGTGCAGGCAGAGGCAGCGTGGAGCAGCTCTGCACAGGAGGAGAAGCCTGGGGAGATACAGGCTTTGCACCTTCAGGTGCTGCTGGTCCTGCTGCAGGCTGGGCCCCGTGTCCCTCAGGAGCAGCGTGGGACAGAAAAGCACGGCACGGGGAGCTCCCCACCGTCTCCAGTGGGATGTGGGTCCCCAGGGTGTTCACGGGGTTGTGCCCAGAGAGGGTGCAGGAGTGACAACATGAAGGTGTGGGAAGTAAGGATTTTATTACATGTCTTCTTGTGCTTCAGCATGGGAATCTGGGTAAGAATTACCCATGGCACAGGCTGTCCCTGTGCTCTGGCCTGTGCAGCGCGGTCACACACAGAGGAGGCGTTTTCCTTGTCCCCTGCAGCAGCCTCTCCATGTCACAGCTCATGGAAGGACACCGTGGTGCCCTTCCCTCCTCACCCTCACGTGGGCACACGGGGAGATTGCCCATCTGCAGCTGTGGGGTGCCAGGTGAGCGCTCCCTGCTCTGCACCAGCAGCTCCAGGAAGGAGCTGGGACACGGACACTGGGCAACAGGAGAGGAGGCTGGCACGGGGTGATGCAGTGGTGCCAGCTGCCACCACGGGTGCCACCAGAGCCATGTGGCTGGGACCTCTCACTGCCTGGGGATGGCTAACAGCCTGGCCAGGAGGGCAAGAGGTGGCAGTGCCACCCCTGC